CCGGCTGGCTTCGTGCTGATTGGCTGGCCGCGGAACAGCTGGGAGGAGGCTTGGCGGCATGCCTCGCCTCTGGACCAATCAGCGAGCTCCGCTGCCTCTGAGAGGCCAATCAGTGCCTTCCTAGCGCCTCTGAAGATGGACCAATCGGCAGCTAGGAGGTGGGACGAAGCTTGACAAAGGCTGAGGAAATGATCAGCTTAGGGGCATCCGCCAGCTGGAATGTGAGGCTTTTGTCCTCACTGGCGGGGTGTCTGATAGGGGAACAATAAGTTTCCTGGTCTGTTGATGGGATTTGGGAGGAAATATGAAAAAGGCTTTTTGCGATATCGGACCTCAAAGGGGGATCAACAATACCTAAAATGATTTAATCAGTCTTTTCTTCCTGAGTTTCTGCTGACCCCCTCCCCTCGCTGGCCTGCTCCAATGACTAGGGTTGGGGGATCAACAGCACGGTCATGCAAATGAAACAATCAAGGAGAGTTTCGGGAGGACAAAGGAGTTCCTCTCTATGACAGTAATCCCCAAGTCACATCCTTTTTGGGGCAAGGGTCAAAGGGAAAGGCGGGAAGGGGAATCAGAGTACATTCCATATGATATTTCATTACATACATTTCATATATTTCATAAGGCAATCCCATCCCCATCCCCAGCAAAGTTTATTAAAACAGTTGATTTTCTATTATTTGAAGAAATTCATGGTCTCCTGGTGAAGGCACACGGAAACGGAGGCTGCTTGCTCTTCAGGGCAAGCCTGGCCTGAAGGTTTGTGTCCAAAGATATGGCAGAAAACAGTCCGGGACGTGGAGCAGAAAGTCAATAGGAGAGGGCAAAAAGAGTCCAAGGAGGATTTCCAGGTTGCAATGGTGGGGCAGTGTCCTTGTCTGTCCTTTGGAAAACTATGTCTCCCAGGTCAGAGACTGGGACCCGCGCCTGGCTGCCTTCCCGGGGTCTCCTGCGGGTGGCCGCAGTGGGCCCCCGGTTGCTGGATCCTGGCAGGGAGCGAGCAGCGCTGAGGAGAAACGGGCTGTCTTGGAAGAACCCGGCCAAATTGACAAACAGCTGACTTCTGTCAAATAATAATACTTTAAACAAAATGATTATTCCCCGAGCGCAGGAGTCCAAAATGAGGAAAACGAGATGGCAGTTAGTCTTAAAATTAATAGCAGAAAAATATAAAATTTGAACGGCGGCGATCCGCCATTTTACTGTTTTAGTGGTTACTGGGGTCCAAAATGGCGGTTTCGGTATCCGCGATTTTTCCGAACGCAGATCCGGGGTCCGGGGGGGGCAGTAGGCGCCCCCCAGCAGGCTCACGGCTCTCCGGAGCCTGGAAAAAGGGTTATTTTAATGTTGAATTAGTCTGAGGCAGGAAAGATACAAAAGTATCAAGCGGAAAGATTAAATGTTGCAAGTTTCAAGTGCTTTATTAGGGGAATGTTACAATGTAGGGAGAGGGGAAAGCAAAGAAAGGCTGAGTGCAGTCTTATTATTGAGCTGCCTGCTGGGGCACATTTCATCAGTTTCTTCCAATTGTGACAACCAGGAACCGCGGAACTCTCCGCTGCAGTGCAGGCCAATCGTTGGCGGGGGCCCTCCGCCATCACAGGGTGGGTGGGTGGATCAGCTGTTGCAGGCCCAGAGACTGAAGGTGGGCACAAGGGCAGCCTTAAGTAGGCTGCCCACGAGGGAGGAGAGGCCAGCTGTGGGCTCTCCTGCCAGGAGGCGTGGCCGGCCGCTGATAGGGCCACCTTATCTAAACCGCGGGAACTTTCCCGCTGGGTGAGGGGGCTTCTGGGAAGATGAAGCCCCCTCAGGCCAAATGGCGGGGGGGAACACCCCACACCGCAACCTCCATGGCCTGGTAAGTCAGGCCATGCCATTTGTCCCTGTTGAACTTCATTTTGTTAGTTTTGGCCCATCTCTCTAATCTGTCAAGATAGTTTTGAATTCTGCTCCTGTCCTCTGGAGTATTGGCTATCCCTCCCAATTTGGTGTCATCTGCAACCTTGATGATCATGCCTTCTAACCCTTCATCTAAGTCATTAATAAAGATGTTGAACAGGACCGGGCCCAGGACGGAACCCTGCGGCACTCCGCTCGTCACTTCTTTCCAGGATGAAGAGGAAGCATTGGTGAGCACCCTCTGGGTTCGTCCATTTAACCAATTCCAGATCCACCTCACCGTTACTGTTACTAGTTACACAAGCCCTAGTGACATTTTATTATACTACAAGGTATATATCTTGGTTCAGAAACTATGGTAAAGCTTCTCTTTATTTACATTTCCCAACCCCACACCTTTTCCATGCCATAGCATTAATGTCAGTGGGGTATTTCTCAAGGGAACTCCTGTGGATGGGCCTCCAGACCATTGGTGAAGATACTCTGTTTGTATTTCATGTTTCAGGAGAAGGAGACCTTTGGGACTCACAGAAAAGGTAGACTACCTTCTCTCAAACCAACAAAAAGTCTCAACAAAAGTTTGCTCCAGGCACTTCCAAGCCATTAAATGCTAATCAAGGTGGTCAGTTGAAACATTCACACCTAGCTGCAGCAGACAAGAGTCCTTTGTCCCACCCAGGTTATTCCACAGATATATAAACCCTTTTTCCTAGTTCCAACAGACCTCACTACCTCTGAGGATGCTTGCCATAGATACAGGCGAAACGTCAGGAGAAAATGCCTCTAGAACATGGCCGTATAGCCCGGAAAAACCTACAACAACCCAAAAAGTCTGGATGCTTGAGGCTGGAGCATTTATTTTCCAAGGAAGGAGACGTGCTAACAGAGAATCATTGGGACCATCAATGTGGAAAGTGGAGATGGTGCAGAGCAGGAGTCAGATTCCCGGGAAGCAGGGAGAGATGTTCAGAGGAGCGCTGGTCAGGCATCTCAGCTGGTTGCTATCCATGGATCCAGGCCTCTTTCAGGGTCAGTCTGTGAAAAGATGAAGGAATCAGAAGTGGAGGAGGGACATGAAAAGACACACCATGTTTGCATTCACTTCTCCTAGAAAGGATCCAATCACATCATTTTCTATTCAGACTGGGCATTTGTCCTAATCTGGTTACAAGGAGAAAACCTGTGTAGCAATAAGGAAGAACACTGAGCATGTGTAGAGTGCTTTGCTCACATCCCAGGAAGGAGAACAACCCTCTTCCCCTCAGCTGGAAGACCAAGGGTTTCTTCTCCTGGTGATACCCTGCATCCTGTGAGTGTTTTTAGAATGTAACCCTAGAATGATGGCCAAAGGGATCAGGTGGCAAGAGGCCACCTGATCAACCCCCCCCCCCCCCGAAATGTTTCAGATTTTTTTTTACAAAAAAACAAGTTTACTCATGAATTTTTAACCAAATCCCCATGCTAAGCCTATGAGATGCAAAAGAGTCCCTCCAGAACTACAAGCACTATCTCAAGCAAATATTTATTTATTTATTATTTATTAACTTCTATGCCGCCACTCCCCTGGGGCTCGGAGCGGCTTACAAGAACAGGCTAAAATCGAACACAATTTAAAAACAATTTAAAACAATTTAAAAACAGCAATATCAGAGATCAAAGGCCCGTCGAAACACATATATCTTACATGCCCTGCGGAAAGCTGATAAGTCCCGCAAGGCACGGACTTCAGGTGGCAGAGTGTTCCAGAGTGATGGTGCCACTGCTGTGAAGGCTCTGCGTCTGGTTGCTGTTAGACGCAAGGTCTTGACACTGGGAATTTCCAATAGATCTTGGTCCTCAGAACGGAGGGATCTCTGGGGTTGGTAGGGGGTGAGGCGGTCCCTCAGGTACATCGGCCCCAGACCATGCAAGGCCTTAAAGTGAGTACCATCACACTGTCATTATCTGCAGCAATAGCCGATGTAGTGAAGCAACCAAGTTGGGGTGGGGTTGAATGCTCTCATGAAGGAGGCCAGACTTGGTGGAGGTGGTTGACAGGGGCGGAGGTGCAGGCGATTGAAGGCTGCTCTGCCCCTGCTGTGCTCTTTGCGTGAGCTAGAAGGGCAGGTTTCAACCCCCCCGCAAAATTTTCACCCCCCCCCCCGAAAATTTCAACCCCTCCCAAAATTTTTCTGGCTATGGCCCTGCTTCCATGAACAGGGGATGTGGGACAATGTTTTGATGAGTTCTAGGCTCAGTGTTGTTGCACATCCTTCGGACTGCCTGCTCCCTGCTCTCCTCCCTGCTTTGTGGTGCCAGAGAAGTGAACGGAGGAAACCAGAAGAGGATCCCCAGGAGCTTCTTGGAGGATCGAGCACTCCATCCCTGTTTTCCCAAACCATAAAGATGGATTCTTTTGGGAGAGATTGGGGCTTGAAGCCCAGGCCTTTGCACAATTTGGATTTGTGCACCAGCTGTGACCATACCTCATGAAGTCAGATCTGACCAGAGTGGTCCATGCCTTAGTCACCTCCCAATTGGATTACTGTAATGCACTCTACGTGGGGCTGCCCTTGAAGATGGCCCCGAAATTTCAATTGGTACAACGGGCGGCAGCCAGGCTACTAACTGGAGTGACTTACAGAGAGCAGGCAAACCCCCTGTTTAAGGAGCTCCATTGGCTGCCGTTCATTTTCCGGTCCCAATTCAAGGTGCAGGTTCTTACCTACAAAGCCCTGAATGGTTTGGGTCCCGCCTACCAGCGAGACCGCATTTTTGTGTACGAACCCACACGATCTTTTCAATCATCTGGAGAGGCCCTGCTCACGCTCCCACCTCCTTCGCAGGCGCGATTGGTGGGGACTAGGGAAAGGGCCTTCTCAGTGGTGGCCCCCCGACTCTGGAACTCACTTCCCAAGGACATCAGACATGCCCCAACTGGCAGTCTTTAGGAGGAGCCTGAAAACATGGCTGTTCCAGTGTGCCTTCCCTGAATAAGGAAATAATCCCCAGCAAAATGTCCTCAGAAGCACTTTAATTACTCGTTGGGTTGCTCTCCCTTCATTTCTTTTAAAACCCTCCTATCAGATACATCCTACCTCTATTCATGCCCAGTGTTTATTTTTTAAATTTCAAATTATTACATTTGGCCCGTTTTGGAAGGGGAACACCACAACATCAAAAGTCAAGATTGACTCATGTCAAAATTCAAGGAGTTATTCAAGGTTTGGCAGTAGCCATAATTGAAAATGTCTTCCCCCATTTGACTCCTTTATGATCTTCTGTTACTGAAACCACCAGTCTAGCCAAGACACTGAGGGATGTTTCTCCTTTCCATCTCTCTTTTCTTCTCTTCTTCCTAGAATGGAGATAGATTAGATCAGCATCCTGAGCAACTTTCCTATCTTACAATGGAGCTCCTATCTATCTATCTATCTATCTATCTATCTATCTATCTATCTATCTATCTATCTATCTATCTATAAATGCTCTGTGCATAATGAGTACCTTAAAAACAAAAGAAACAATGAACAAAATCACACCAAATTTGGCAACAAAACGTCTCACAACACAAGGAGTGACCATCACTCAAAAATTATGATTTTGTCATTTGGGAGTTGTAGTTGCTGGGATTTATAGTTCACCTATAATCAAAGAGCATTCTGAACTCCACCAATGATGGAATTGAACCAAACTTGGCACACAGGACTCCCCTGACCATCAGAAAACACTAGAAGGGTTTGGTGGGCATTGACCTTGGGTTCTGGAGTTGTAGTTTACCTACATCTAGAGAGCACTGTGGACTCAAACAATGATGGATCTGAACTAAACTTGGCACGAATACTCAATATGCCCAAATATAAACACAGACGGAGTTTGGGGGAAATTGACCTTGACATTTGGGAGTTGTAGTTACTGGGATTTATAGTTCACCTGCAATCAAGGAGCATTCTGAACCCCACCAATGACAGAATTGGGGCAAACTTCCCACACAGAACCCTCATGACCAACAGAAAATACTGTGTTTTCTGGTGGTCTTTGGTGACCCTTCTGACACCCCCTCTCAACCCTCCCCAGGGGTCCCGACCCCCAGGTTGAGAAATGCTGCCTTAAGGCCATCCAGTCCAACTCCCTTCACCAGAGCAAGAAAACATAAAGCCCTCCTGACAAAGAGCCATTCAGCCATCGATATAGATACATATATATGATTCACACACACACACACACGTTTATAACAGATATAGTACCATATTTATTATTTATTATTTATTTTATTTATTTATTTCATTTACTTATACCCCGCCCTTCTCACCCCGGGGGGGACTCAGGGCGGCTTACAGAGGAGGCACAATTAAATGCCTAAAACAATTGACAGTAATACAAAATACAAAAAAGCAATTCAACAGTTAGAATTAAAACATCAGTGCATAATAAAATATTAAGACAATCTCATGCTCGGGTTCAGAGTCCATATATCCATTCCATTCCATTTGTCCTTGTCTGTCGTCAGATCCTTAATTTAGTTGCCAGTGTGTCCAAAGGCTTGATCCCAAACCCAGGTCTTCAGTTTTTTCCTGAATGCCAGAAGGGAGGTCGCCGATCTAATCTCCCCGGGGAGTGAGTTCCACAGGTGGGGGGCCACCACTGAGAAGGCCCTGCTCCTCGTCCCCGCCAACCTCACTTGTGAGAGTGGTGGGGTTGAGAGCAGGGCCTCCCCAGAAGATCTTAAGCTTCGAGGTGGGATGTAGAGGAAGATCCGTTCGGACAAATACACTGGGCCGGAACTGTATAGCGTTTTGTAGGTCAAAACCAGCACTTTGAATTGTGCTCGGAATTCGATCGGCAGCCAGTGGAGCTGGCGTAACAGGGGGGTGGTATGCTCCCTGTACGCCACTCCAGTGAGCAATCTGGCTGCTTCTCGCTGGACTAGTTGAAGTTTCCGAGCAGTCTTCAAAGGCAACCCCACGTAGAGTGCATTGCAGTAATCCTTAAGGTACCCCTAAAGAAGGAACATGAGGAAGAACTTCCTGACTGTGAGAGCCGTTCAGCAGTGGAACTCTCTGCCCCGGAGTGTGGTGGAGGCTCCTTCTTTGGAAGCTTTTAAACAGAGGCTGGATGGCCATCTGTCAGGGTGATTTGAATGCAATATTCCTGCTTCTTGGCAGAATGGGGTTGGACTGGATGGCCCAGGAGGTCTCTTCCAACTCTTTGATTCTATGATTCTATGATAGTTATAGTTCACCTATAATCAAAGAGCATTCTGAATTCCACCAACAATGGAATTGAACCAAACTTGACACACTGTTTACTGTTTACCCACAAGCATAAAGAAATTACATATATTAGAAACCAACACTTTCTCATTATTTTATTTTCCAGATCACCAGACGGGGCCACAGCAACGTGTGGCAGGGGATGGCTAGTAATAAATAAACTTTGTTCCAAGCCAATGCTGTGTTGGCTCTTTACAGAAGGCCTCCAACTTCTGCAAAGTGCATGAATATATTTCTAGCTTGAGCTCTGGTGCAAGGTTACCAGTGCAAGGGAAATGGACTCACCCCTTTCAACAGGAAACATGCAGAAATGTCCACATCGATATTCACAGCACTTCCGGATCCCAGGGCAGTCATCATCTGAATGGCAGAAGGCTGCACATGTTTCATATTTGCCTTCAGGTGAAATTGGGCATTTGTCTTCAATGCCTAGAAGAAAGAACAAATACAAAAGCTGTGGGATGCCTCACACAGTGGCTCTTTGGCCTCCCAGTAGCCCAGACAATCCCAGCATTCCCAGGTTGGATAGGGCTCCCATTTCTGCTCTTCTCTTGGAAGATCTCTTGTGGTGAAGGAAGATGAAATCTGGGTTATTCCTGCCTTCCCACTGGAACCCAGTTAAAGAACTTGATTGCATGAGGCGGGTAACCAAAAATGCAGCTGGACCATCACTATGATACAATGCTACAAGCATTCTAGAGTCTCCTCTCCTTTCTTTTGGTGAGCAAGACCCATTAAGAGCTGTCCATCTATTTGCATTCCTTGGTGAGACTTCTGTGTCAGTAGTAATATGGGGTTGGGGTTGGATTGTGTTGCAAGGAGACAGAGTACCTATTCTTGGTGCCCAAACTACAAGAAAGGAGGTTCCATATGAGCATGAGGAAGAACTTCCTGACTGTGAGAGCCGTTCAGCAGTGGAACTCTCTGCCCCGGAGTGTGGTGGAATCTCCTTCTTTGGAAGCTTTGAAACAGAGGCTGGATGGCCATCTGTCAGGGGTGCTTTGAATGCAATATTCCTGCTTCTTGGCACAATGGGGTTGGACTGGATGGCCCATGAGGTCTCTTCCAACTCTATGAGTCTATGATTCTAGGAGAGCATCTAGTGGACCATCTAGGACCTCTTGAAATGACCCTGTAAGTACTCCCAGGTTGGAAATCTCTCTTATCTCTGTGGCATTTGGGCTCATCTGAAGAATTGGACAAAGGAGGACTACCAAAGGCATGTCTATATTTCAACCAAGATCTTATCTGGAATGGGGTCAGAGATGTCTTCAAGGGCTATCTCTGTCTATGTACCACTCACCACTCACCTGCGATGGTAGGCATCAAGGCACAGAGGACAAGGAAAGTATGAAGGACAATGAGACCAGTTGAGGACTTCATGGTCAAGCAGGATTGAGTGAACCTCAGCTCTTTCCACCTCCTTTATAGCTCCTTCCAGTTGAATATTTCTGTATAGCTTCACAGACCATGAGAGCATGAGGTAATGAGGAAATTAAAACCCATTGGACCCATACAGGCATTTAAAAGGGAACGTTCTATCCCAGATCTACCTGCAAAGGTGGTCAGGAAGGGAGATATTTCCTCCCAGAATCAATTTCCCTTGTAATGGACTCTTTGGATGGCCACAAACATGGCTCAACTTTGGCAGTGGGCCACCCTTTTTCACTCATGGGCTTCTGGGTTTCCATTGTAATCTTCTCCTGAGGGTCATATTTCATTGCAAGTATGCTGGAACAGCTGTACCAGAAGGTCCAGCTTTATTTTCTTTCTGTTATCCTTTTGCAGTCATAGGGCAGGCCTCCTGTCCATCATAATTGAGCTTTGGTTCCGCCCCTTGTTCAGGGCTCTGGGAGGGAAAGGAGCCATTTTTTGGGCAGTCACACATAAGGAAGCTAAACTATAGGACGTAGACCAGCTCATCCCGTAGAAAAGCTTCTTTTCTCAAGAACATCCAGGGAAACAGAGAAATTCCAGTAACATCCGGGGATAAAGAAACAGAAATTCCAAGGGAAAGGTCCCAAAAGCTCTGGCTGAGAGCTCACAGCCTCTCTGCCCCACAGCATCAGAGGGAAAACAGCCCTGCAGTTTCTAAGAATTCTGGAAGGGAGAACAGCTTTACAGATTCACAGACTCCAGCTGAAATATCTGCAGGCCTTGGCTGGTAGGTCTACTCGATGCCCACACGCATTTGGGGTCGGTAGTGGGTCCCACATCAGCGAGGCCTGGATAGTGCACAGCCTAGGAGAGGTTAAAAAGGGGTTTTTCTTACAAAGAAAGTTCAGTTAATCAAAGTCAGGTACCAGTCCATTGAGGACTAGACTAAGAAAGCCTTGAAGTGTTGTTTGAACCATTGAAGATTTGTTGTTTGTTCCATAATAAAGACTTTGTTGTATCATTAAAGACTCTAAAGACCATCACTTCAGAAAAATCCCTGAGAACCTCTCTTTGAGGCCCCCTGGCTTCCCGCTGGGCTTAAAGTATACGTCCTATAGAAAAGTACAGCTGTTACAGGCCCAGCGCGCGACGGAACAGGTGAAAGTGGGAGCAAGAGCCACGGGTGTGGTGCCACATCTCCTCCTTGCTCTGCCAATCATACAGACCCATGTTCCAGAGAGAATGCTTCTGGAACATGGCCATAGAACCCAGAAAACTCACAGCAACCCAAACAGACCCATTTTCCTGCAAAGGGATCTTTATGGTTTGGAAGGAACATAGATAGGTCCTCCAAGGGGCTTCTGTGGTCGAGAGTGTGTGAAATACAGCCTGAGGCTTCGGGGGGGGGGGGGATGTGTGTCTCCCATCCAAGCACCAACCTGGGCTGACAGGATCTTTTTTAAAAAATTTATTATTATTAAGAACTAGCTGTACCCGCCATGCGTTGTTGTGGCCAACCTTCCTCCCCTCTTTTTCTCCTTCTTTCTTTTTCTCCTTCCTTCCCTGTTTTTCTTTTTTATCTTCTTCCTTCTCTTCCTCTTCCCTTCCTCCACCCCTTTCCCCCCATTTAACCAATTACAGATCCACCTCGCTGTAGTTTTGCCTCGCCCACATTGGACTAGTTTTCTTGCCAGAAGGTCATGGGGGACCTTGTCAAAGAAGGCCTTCCTGAAATCCAGGTACGCTACATCCACGGCATCATTCCCCGCATCTACCCAGCTTGTAACTCTATCAAAAAAAGAGATCAGATGAGTCTGGCATGACTTGTTTTTGATAAATCCATGTTGACTATTAGCGATGACCACATTTGTTTCTAAGTGTTTGCAGACCGCTTCCTTCACAATCTTTTCCAGAATCTTGCCCGGTATCGACGTGAGGCTGACCGGACGGTAGTTGTTTGGGTCATCCTTTTTTCCTTCTTGAAGATTGGGACCACATTGGCCCTCCTCCAATCTGCTGGAACTTCTCCCGTTCTCCAAGAACTCTCAAAGATGGTTGCCAATGGTTCCGAAATGACTTCCGCTAGTTCCTTCAATACTCTTGGGTGTAGTTGGTCTGGCCCTGAAAGGGGGCTGGAACTCATTTAGAGCGGCCAGGTATTCCTGGACGACTTCTTTCCCAATTTGGGGTTGGATGTCTTCTAATCCCTCACCCACTCCATCTTGCTGAGGTTGAAGATGACTTTCTTTTTGTGAGAAGACCGAGGCAAAGAAGGCATTAAGTAGTTCTGCCTTTTCCCTATCATCCCCTGTCAGCATTGCCCCATCTTCTCCTCGAAGAGGCCCTATTGCCTCCTTGTTTTTCCCTTTTCTACTGACATAAGAAAATAAGCCCTTTTAATTGTTTTTAATGTCCCTGGCAAGCCTGAGCTTGTTTTGTGCTTTAGCCTTGCAGACCTTATCTCTACAGGTGTTGGCTATTTGTTTGAATTCTTCTTTGGTGATTTCTCCCTTTTCCCACTTCTTGTGCATGTCTCTTTTGTGTTTTAACACAGTTAGAAGTTCTTTGGACATCCATTCTGGCTTCTTTGCAGAAGAGAACGCTACTTGCAATGTATGCCAAACAAGGGAGATGCTTCTTTCTGTAGGTGTCAAAGGGGGAAAAGAAAGGATGTCAGAACCAGCATACAGGCATTTTCACCTGCATGATGCTGTTTGAGATAGTAAGGGCACCATGTCATCAGGAAATAAGCATTGCTTGCTTAAGCGGTTTTCAGTCAAGAGAAAAAAAGTTAGTTTTTTGTATGTGCCATATCACCTGTTCTTTCTGTACCAATAAGATACGCAGTGGGTTTACAATTGTTTTGAATGTAAACCAAGAGTATAAATGTTTTGTGTGAACAGGCCATGGGGACTTTGAGAATTTAATGTGGAGTTATCCACCCAGGAGTCCTGGCCAGAATAAAGCTCCATTCTTCTCCACTTCTAAGTAAGGCTTGGCATGTTTCCTGAAAACCCACCATAACATTGTAATTAATAAAGTTTTATTACTTGAAGCCAATGCTGCCTTTACTACATAATCAGGATCAATGGCTGCAAGATGTCTGAATATATTTCTGAGTTCAGCTCTGGGGCAAGGTGCCAACAAGATAAACAGTCTCAGCCAGAGATGCTACCCCAAGGGAAGTGGACTCACCCATTTTGGTCAGAGAAGGCAGAATTTTACACATTGCCATTCATGGCACTTCTTGGGCGTAGGGCAGTCACTATCTGAATTGCAGAATGCAGTACACCGTTTCTGTCTTCCTTTAGGTGAAGGTGGGCATTTCCCTGGACATTCTGGAAGAAAGAAGAAGCACAAAACTTGTGTGATACCTTCCAGACCTCCCAGGAGCCCAGACAATGCCATCATTTTAAGGGTGTGCAGGACATTCATTTCTGCTCTTCTTCTCAGAGGATCTCTTCTGATGAAGTAAAATGAGATCTTGAGGTTTTCCTGTATTTCCACTAGAACCCAGCCAAAGGGCTTTATTGCATAAGGCAGGTAAACAAAATTTGCAGCTGGACCAGCAAATTTGTTTTCTGTTGGCCTAGAGACTAGGACATAGAGCAATGGCTTCAAACCAGAGGAAAGGAGATTCCACCTGAACACGAGGAAGAACTTCCTGACTGTGAGAGCTGTTCAGCAGTGGAACTCTCTACCCTGAAGTGTGGTGGAGGCTCCTTCTATGGAGGCTTTTAAACAAAGGCTGGATGACCATCTGTTGGGCATGCTTTGAATGGATTTTCCTGCGTCTTGGCAGAATGGGGTTGGGCTGGATGGTCCACGAGATCTCTTCCAACTCATATACAATCTGATATATGATAGAATCATATACAATCCCTTATGCATTCTAGAGCTGGTCTATTTCCTCTTTTTGATTTTGGTGAGGGGAAAAACCATCAATAACTTCCCATTTGGTTGCATTTTTTAGGTCAACTTCTGTACCAGTAGTAATATGAGGTCAGGGAATTAAATTGTCTTGCAAGAAGGCAGAGCAGTTGTTGCTGGTGCCCAGGAGACCATCTAGCAGACCATCTCAGACCATCTCAGACCTCTGAAAGTAGTCCTGGGTCAGCCATCCCCCAGACCTCCATGAACCAGCCATTTATACCATACTCTGATCTTTACATCTGGCCAGCTCTGAAGGGTTGGAGAAAGAAGATCTACCTAGGTCTTGTCTATATTTCAACCAAGGTCTTACCTGGAATGGGGTCAGAGATGGCTTCAAGGGATATCTCTGTCTAGGTAAGGCTCACCTTTCCCAGAGGCAGCAGGCACCAAGGCACAGAGGACCAGGAGAGTAAGGAGGACAACGAGCCTAGTTGAGGACTTCATGGGGAAGCAGGACGGAATGAACTCCAGCTCTGCCCACCTCCTTTATAGATGAGTTTGACCTTTCTGCATCACTTCCCAGCCCACCCAAGACCCCGAGGCAACGAGGGAATAAAAACCGATGGGACACATACAGACATTAAAAAGGGAACATTCCAACCCAGTTCTACTTTTGCAAAAGTCATAAAGGAATGCAGACATTTCCTTCTAGGCATAATTTTCCTTGTGATGATATCTTTGAATGGCCAGGGTTATTTCCCCTTGCATATTTATTTATTTATTTACAGTATTTATATTCTGCCTGAAGTAGCAGCCAATAGTGAAAGGACCAAGGCAGAGACATCTCCAGCTCATCCCTTGTTTGGGTATCAGCCAGCACATCGACGACTTAAATCAAGAAATAGCTTTCTAAGATCTACAGAGACACTTGCTGGAACACCTTAGCAAGCGAGAGTCCAAAAGTGGCAGGTTCAAACCCAGAACCTCAATCAATGGCTGATACCAAATGAGAGACTCCCCCCTGGGCACACAGAAGACGGGGCGACTTGGAAGGCACTGAACAGACTGCGCTCTGGCACCACGAGATGCAGAACCAACCTCAAGAAATGGGTCTACAAAGTGGAATCCTCGAC